CCCCCCCCCCCGCCCCCAGCCAAGGGTTAAACGGATGCTGGAGTTATTTGTCAAACATCAATTAGCAACTCCGTCTAGGTTGGGTTGGTTTTTTTTGGTTGTTGTTTTTGTTGTTTTTTTTGTGTGTGTGCGTGCGCGTGTATTATGTGACCTGGTCTGCCGTACATTCAAACGCCCGTGTGTCAGGCAAGTGGGTTCACCTGTGCAATGGTATACTCGTAGTGTCGTAGACAAGTGGATCAACTTTCAGAAATTTCAGAAATCAACGTGTGTCCGCTGTTCAGAAGCGGGTACAGGACAAACAAGCCATAGCTCAAACAATAAACTCAAAGTGTTTTTCATCTTTAAAAACTGTTGATTTTTTTAATAAGCATGAAGTCGTTATACCATTGACACAGGTGTGTTACAAGAAAGTATTTTTCGATAACAGCACGAATACATACAATTCAAGAAATCTATATTACAGCATACATTTTATGTGACTAGACATCATTGGTTTAAATACTTCTCCTCGTCAAAAGATATCCTTATTTATTGCTTCCCCATGGAAGATGTTTCTCGTGATGCTCCCCATGCCCCCACATTACTCTTAATAATAAGATAGCCAATGCAATATGTTACAAAGTTGTATTTGTTTATCGTTTAAACAATTTTTTTTTAAATTTTAGGGCACCGTTGAAAATGTGTCTAAAATTTCCAGAAACTCCGAAATGAGTTCCGAACCACGCCATGGTTGTATTAATTGTCATTAATAATTTTTTTTTTAGGAAATAACTACCGAAATATAGCTCAGATTTTTCATATATGATATTTTGAAAATTGAAGCTTTAAAAATGCTCATATGATTTAAGACCAGAATATTTCTTTCGAGAATAATTTCTATGAATATAATTATAGGCCTATTCATTTTCTCAATCCGAGACTGGCAGAAATCGACTCTGAATTATTGACTATGTAAGTTGTATCAATCCGAGACTGACAGAAATCGACTCTGATTTATTGACTATGTAAGTTGTATCAATCCGAGACTGACAGAAATCGACTCTGAATTATTGACTATGTAAGTTGTATCGATCCATTTCATCCGGTTGTAAAAACGTCTTTTTTTTAAAAACCGCACCCACCACCCCCCCCCCCCCTCCCCCCCCCCCCCCCCCCCCCACACCCCAAGAATACAAAACGTCATTAACAATAGTGAACTAAAGTGAAAGACTTGAAGCGTGTTGAGACTGCACATGCAATCAAAGTAATACTATCAAGCAAAAGGCGAGGCTTCCAGGCGATGAGCTGGAGATAGTCTTCTTAACCCCCCCAATAATGTCTCGTCTAAGGCTGTGTCTGCAGACAAGGTGCAATCAATGACCGATGCCCCGTCTAAGCTGTGTCTGAAGATAATGTGCATTCAATGACCTATGTCTCTTCTAAGGCTGTGTCTGCAGACAAGGTGCCATCAATGTCTCGTCTAAGCTGTGTCTGCAGCGAAAGTGCATTCAATGACCTATGTCTCGTTTAAGCTGTTTAAGCCCCCTTCCATGAACCCCCCCCCCCTAAATTTTCCGAAAACGCCATCCATCCATTTAAGATAAAGCGCCGCCCGGGGCGCTGCACCCTCCACACCGCCCTTCCTACGCCGGGGCGCTGCACCCTCCACACCGCCCTGCCTACGCCGGGGCGCAGCACCCTCCACACCGCCCTTCTTACGCCGGGGCGCTGCACCCTCCACACCGCCCTTCCTACGCCGGGGCGCTGCACCCTCCACACCGCCCTTCCTACGCCGGGGTGATGCACCCTCCACACCGCCCTCTTTACGCCAGGGCGCTGCACCCTTCACACCGCCCTTCCTACGCCGGGGCGCAGCCCCCTCCACACCTCCCTCCCTTCGCCGGGGCGCAGCCCCCTCCACACCTCCCTTCCTACGCCACTGTTTCCATTCAATAAGACTTAACAGCTGTCATAAATATGTTACTGCGTCTTGAAGAATCTTTCATCAACGTCATACGTATTGCAGAATAAATCAAAATAGAATCACAATTTGATTATTTAATGAATTCAGACATAAAATATGAGGTAGATTATGTGTGATATATGTTACAACATACAAAGAAGTAGACATTATTTTTTTCTTCAACACAACCGATTGATGATATGTGAAATATAAGAACAAGGTATGGTCATATGTGGTAGTGATCGGGTCTACAAATTTTCGCGTCAA